TCTACCTAGATTATTGTTGTTGTTCTGGTACTGGGCCTTGAACTCTGGGCCTTGAGTTCCTCTTTGACTTTTTGCTCCACTTCCACTTCCAATTGGAGATTAGAGTCCCTTGGATTTTTTTTTTGTCTTCCCAGGGTAGCTTTGAACTTGTGATCCTCAGATTTCAGTCTCCCAGGATCTGACTACAAATCTAGGATTACAGATGTGAGCTACCACTGCCTGGCATCCTATTTCTACTTTCCAACAGAGATACAGAAGCATAGAATGCTTCTGGAAGAAAGCAACGAAACAGTTTTTAAATGATCATGTTATAACAATAGACATCTAAATGTCACCAATCCTGTGACAGTTGTTTTTCTAAGTGTTTTATGCATATGATTTTAATACATTTTCACAAAGAACCCTGAGAGGTAAGCACTGTTATCTTTGTTGCCCAGAAAGTCAAGTTGATTCAGACAGGCTAAAGACATTTTCCCAGAGTCACGTAACCAGTAAATAGTAGAGCAGGGCATTGAACCCAGACAGGCTGACTCTGGAGCTTTGCACTACATTAAGCAGAAAAGACTTTTCACAGAACGGTCCACTTCAGATGTGTTTTAAGTTCGTGTATGGAAGCCTGTTGTATTTATTCTGAATTGAAACCGGTGACTATGGAGACATATCATTAAGAGACAGTGTCCGGTTGGCATGGTAATTCACATTGCAAACTTGTAAGCCTAGCACTTGGGGAGGTTGAGGCCACTCTGGGTAGCACAGTAAGTTCTGTAGCCTGAGCTACAGAGAAAGACCTTATCTCAAAAACCCCTGGAGGACTGGGGCTGTAGCAGATTCTCAGAGCACTTGTCTAGCATGTACAAAGCCCTGGGTTTGAGCCCTAACACAAGTACTTTGCCGCCAGGTATCAGTAGCCCAGGCCTGTAATCCCGGCTACTTAGGAGGCTTGAAATCTGTGGATTGTGGTTTGAAGCCAGTCAGGGCAAATGAATCCTCAAGACCCTTATCTCCAAAGAACCTGCCAAAAGCCAGAGCACTGGCCTTGAGTGGAAAAAGCCAAGCCAAAGTGCAAGATGTTGAGTGCAAGCCCCAGTACTGGCACAAAAATAATAACCAAATTTTGCAACCGTTCAGCAAGGGACAGACATGGCTGATCGTCTGCCGTTAATGGTCATTCCTTCTTTTCTCATGGACATGTTCCTGGTCCAGAGAACAGTGATTCCAGCTCCAAGACATGACTCACAGTAGGTTAATTAAAGGTGTTGCAAATCTGCCAGTGATTGGTCCAGGGATGGATATGCAGTTCTGTCCTGACCAATGAGAGCTGAGGGAATGTTTTCTGGGTTTGGAGAAGATTTCTACCTTGATTAAATGGGGAGAGATGCATTAAAAAAGCAATGTTTTTCTTCATCATTTTCTTCTCGCTCTTGATCATCTCCTAGGAGAAAATAATAAACATAATAAAAATAATAATCATAAATAATATAAAATATGTTAATATATAACTATAAAATGAAATAAAAAATAAAAATAATAAATATAAAAGCCTAATCAAACCATCACTTATGTCTTTCTTTCTCCCTCCTTCCCTCCCTCCCTTCCTTCCTCTCCTTCTTTCTCTCTCTTTCTCCACCTCTTTATCCTCTTCTTCCTTCTTGTCTTCCTTCCTTCCTCCCTTTCTCCCTCTTTCTTCCTTCGTTCCTTTCATGCTGGAACTGGAAGCTTGAACTCAGGACTTGCTCTCTCACTGGTTTTTCTTTTGCTCAAGGCTAGCCCTCTACCCCTTGAGCCCTACCTCCACTCCTAGTTGCTGCTGGTTAATTGGTGAGAAGAGTCTCTGGACTTTCCTGTCCAGGCTGGTTTCAAACCATGATCCTCAGATCTCAGCCTCTTGAGCAGCTAGGGTTACAGGCATGAGCCATCAGCACCTAGATCCATCCTTGATTTCTAACAAGATGGGACAAAAAACCTTGATCCTTGGTGACTTTCAAAAAGCCACAGTCCAACCCAATGCCCCTTCCCTCCGGGCATCTTGGGAAGTGAGTTAAAATGTGCCTATGTATGCTCTTACTGTGATGTAAAGCATTGTGATACACCTTACCTCCGAGGGTTATGAGTTCATAGCTCCTTGGAGACACCCCCACACTACCTTCAGGCCTTCTCCCCTAAATACTACATCCAGGACTTTCACACTCATAAGGGGGGGGGGGTGGACAGTGAAGGTCACTTCCAGTTCTCCTGGTATCTAATTGCCTTCATCACACAACTAATGGGTGACTCCAGAAGTCTGCTGTACTAAGCCAGGCCGACAGCCATAACCTGTGCTCTCAATATGAGTCACTTACAGTGTCAGGCTTTGGAAAGAAGCTGTGATGTCACAGTCCCCCGCCCCCCCCCCCCACCCAGTGACACAGCAGTCAGAATGCAGCCAGAAATAGGGACGTGGAAGCCTCAGCCAGTGAATCTCCTGTGCTCAGACAGAAATAGCCACATCACCCTCAGCCCAGACACCAGGCTCCAGGAGATTTGTGGAGCCAAAATAGACTGGACATGTCATCACCTTTCCAGAATCCCCTATCTCCTCTCTCCCCAAACCTTGTGGGGACACCCAAGGTGAAACCTACATAGCCAGGGACATTAAGAATGACAGAGACTCCATCGAGCTTTGGTTGCCAACGATAATAAGCTATGCATCAAAGAGGACCCTGAGCAAATGTCTGAAGGCAGCTTTGTGTTTGGCTCATGCTGAGAGCCAAGGTTACCAAGAGTTCAGGACCATGGTCTGTTTCATTCTTGACTTCCCAGTGTTGCAGGCTGATTGGTATTGCCTACCAATCCTTGCCCCAGAGGTATTAGAGCCACCTCAGTTGTGTGCTAGGACCCAAGGAAGCTGCATACCTCTGGCAGTTCTGCTTGGAGCAACATCTGCATAAAATACTGACATATTGGTGATGACAGAGAGCAACAGATATTATTTGTTGGGGCTTTTTAGGCAATCAGTAGATACGACTGACATTTCCCCCTGAGCCCTAAACCAATTAAAGAGAGAAAGAGACTGAGAGACTCTGTGTGTGTGTGTGTGTGTGTGTGTGTGTGTGTGTGTTAGAGAGAGAGAAAGCAAGATAAGAATCAGAAACATGAGCATCAAGATATCTGGTCTTCCAAGCCATGAAGGCTCTACGCTTATAATCCTGGCTACAAAAGAGGCTGAGATCTGAAGGTTTGAAGCCAGCCTGGCTGTGAGACTCTTATCTCTAATAAACCAGTAAAAAGCCAGAAGTGGAGCTGTGGCTCAAGTAGTAGAGCATCAGCCTTGAGCCAAAAAGTTAAAGGGTAGTGCCAGGTCCTGAGTTCCAACTCTAGCATTGGCAAGTGTACACGCATGCGCACACGAGCATGCATGCATGTACACACACACACACACACACACACACACACACACACACACACACACACACACACACACAGATCTATTTCAGATGAGTGTTAGGGTGGAGAATTTGGCTTAAGAAAGAGGTGATCATGGATGCCTTAGATCTGTACCTAAAAATAAGGGGTGAGGGTACAATCCAGTGGTAGAATACTAGCCCCACAAGCATGAGGCCTTGGGTTTGATTGCAAGCAAACAAAAAATATCCCTAAACAGAATCACCAGTCCGTGCCCCTCTCAGATATCCATGCAAAGGGAAGAAGAAAGTCAGCTTAGAAGAGTCACCAGCACGTCCATATTTATGGAGATGCTCTTCATAGTAGCTCAGATATGGAATCAGCTTTGGTACCTTTGGGAAGATGAACAAACAAAATCATTGTGCTGTATATGTAGAATGCAATGTTTGTCATGGAGAATAGGGAAAGACTATCCTTTGCAGGAAGTGGAAATCATCATGCTAAGCAAAGTAAGTCAGACGCAGAAAGATGAGTACCTCATATACGGAAACTAAAAACGAGGGGCAAAACAGGTCAACTTGGAAGTCGAATGCTGGTTATCCGGGTCAGAGGTGCAGTAATGGCCAGGGGCAGGGGGCAGAGATAAGATGGAGCAATCCATACTAGAGGCTGGTGTGAATATCCTGTTGCTATGTATTAACCTCTCTGGGCTGCTGTGATACTTAAAGCTGGTTGAAATGAAGAAGACACTTTGAGGATGTTGAGGATCTTCATTCTTTCCATTATTTGTGTGGGGCGGGGGCGGGGGGTGTGGAGGGATGTGCATGTGTGTACCAGTTCTGGGGCTTGAACTCTGTCTGGGCCTGAGTGCTGTTCCAGAGCTTCTTTGCTCAAGGCTAACGCCCTACCACTTGAACCACAGCTCCACTTCTGGATTTTTGATGGTTCGTTGGAGATAAAGAGTCTCACAGCCTTTCCTGCCCAGGCTGGCTTTAAACCTCAATCCTCAGATCTCAGCCTCCTGAGTAGCTAGGATTACAGGTGTGCCACTAGTGCTTGGATCTATTAGTTTCTCTCTCTCTCTCTCTCTCTCTCTCTCTCTCTGTAAGTACTGTTTGAGGCTGTGATTATTTTGTGATAAAGTTGTTTTTTGTCGACTCTCATGCCCTCATTTATCTGAATTATTTCAAGGATGATAAATTCAGCTTTGCATCTCGGCAATATCATTATTTCAAAGAAAATGCTCTGAAAATCTCCACCTAATGAAAAGAAAATGACGGAGTGCAGAAGCATTAACAAGGATTGGTTTTGTGTCATCCTTATATGCTAAGAGGGATAAAATAAACACATCAAATATTCGCATAGAGCTTACTGAGTACCTGGTATTGCTCTAAATGCTTGGAGTGTAAGAACTCATTTAGCTTTCATAAAAACCTGGAGTGGGCATCTTTTTTTCCCTTCCTTCCTTCTCTCTCTCTCTCTCTTTCTTTCTTTCTTTTTTCACATTAAAACTTAAACGTTTACTAAGTCTCAGAAGCATAAATTTGATTTTACATCAACTTTATTCTCAGAGCAACCTGTGTGAATTAAAGCCTCACATTGCCAACTGCTGTAGTAATCAAATTTCTTCTTACATGTACCAAAGTCTCATATCAGCAATGAGTCCTGGGTTGCAAAAGATGATTTGCTATTTGCACCTGTCTGTAAGGCTTTGTTACAAATTAAACAAAGACATATACAAGTGCTCTTTTGTTTTCTTTTTCTTTCTTTCTTCCTTTCTTTCTTTCCTTTCCTTTCCTTCCTTCCTTCCTTTCTTTCTTTCTTTTTTTCTTTTTCTTTCTTCCTTCCTTTCTTTCTTCCTTCCTTTCTTTCTTTCATTCTTTCTTTCTTTCTTTCTTTTTGTTCCTTTTCTTCCCACTCTCCTTTCTTCCTTTCTTTTTTCCCTCCCTCCCTCCCTTCCTTCCTTCCTTTGCTTGCTTGCTCTCCTTTTCTTCCTTCTTTCTTCCCTCTCTTTGCCAGTACTGGTGCTGAATTTAAGACCTTGCATTCTACTTGGCTTTTCCACTCAAAGCTGATGCTTTTTACCACTTAAGCTACACATCCACTTCTGGCTTTATTTATTTTATTTATTTTTTGGTGGTTAAAGGAAAATAAGATCTCTTGAATTTGTCTGCCCAGGCTGGCTTCAAACTGAGATCCTCAAATCTCAGCTTCCTGAGTAGCTGGCAACTGGCACCTAGGCCAATTTTCTAATCCTGTGATGCTACGGGCCTCCGTGTCTTCCCTGTGAAGTGCAAGTGATATGTTCTGTTTTGCTAATCTTGCAAAGTAAAACTCCTTTTGAACATTCTAAAGTAGCTGCTTTGTATATAATAAGGTAATCGTTTTTCAAAGATCATGTCCTAATCAAAGGTCTTGTCCTAATTTTAGGCTTTACTTTGGATGATGTAAGGTTTTTGACTGTTGCTTAGAGAATGGAAGGGGGAAGACAAGGAACACACCCACAAAACCTCTGTGCCTTAGGCTGCCTGTTTAGAATGTCAAGGCCAGCTTTATCTAAGCCAAGCCCTGCCAGACAGGCCAAGTGGTAGCAAATTAGGCAAATTAGGACAACTATGGCTTGTCTGCCAGCTTTGGGCCCAAGGTAAACCAGAGAGAAAGGTGTTTTGTTTTGTTTTGTTTTTGTCTGCCATGGGGCTTAAGCTCAGGGCCTGAGTGCTGTCCCTGAGCTCTTCCGCTCAAGGCTAGTGCTCTACCACTTTTAGCCATAGCGCCACTTCTGGTTTTCTGGTGGTTCATTGGAGATAAGAGTTCTACAGACTTTCTTGCCCAGGCTGGCTTTGAACCATGATCCTCAGATCTCAGCTTCCTGAATAGCTAGGATTACAGGCATGAGACACTGGCACCCAGCTGGAGAGAAGGTTTAATGCAGTACATGGAAAGAGAAGGATCATGGTGGTCTTTGAAGTAGAACAGACATGATCCCTGGATCCTGGCCATCTTCACGCCCACCATGAACCCATTACTCTTAACCATCTCCCCGTTTCCTCATATCCAGAATTCATCTTGGGGAAGAATCAGGAAGAAGCAATCTGAAAAAATTAAAGCAGTTAGCCCGGGACCATGGGCTCATGCATGTAATCCTAGCTATTCAGGAGGCTGAGCTATGAGGATCGTGGTTCAAAGCCAGTCTGGGCAGGAACGTCCGTGAGACTCATCTCCAATAAGCTACTCAGAAAATGCTCTAGAAGGGGAGTTGTAGCTCAGAGTAGTAGAATGCTAGCCTTGAGCAAAAGAAGCTCAGGGATAGTGCTCAGGCCCCAAGTTCAAGTCTCAAGACCGGCACACACACACACACACACACACACAAACCAAAAGGATGAATTTAAACTAATGGATCACTTAGTAATTTCTCTCCCTCTCAGATGAGGGTTCTAGATACACAGAAGTTCAATCACAGGTGAAGGCAATTCATTTCCTCTCCTCATCCCAGCTACCGTGAGAGCAGAATTGTGCAATCTGATTACAGCCTAATGTTGTTAAATAATTCTGACAGTGGATCACAAACCAAAATGCTGAATTAAAAAAAAAAAATCTTCAATGACATTAACCTTTGACCGAAACAAGATAATATATGTAAAAGTTCCTGGCACACATTAGGTGCTAGGTGAATATTAATTATTGTAATGCTGTTTGGGGTCAATGTCAGCCGAGACAGGAGCTACGTGCCTGGAATCCCGGCTCTTGGTTTTACCCGGGATGTGTGATGTTGGACAAGGTGTCCTGTGAGAGCATCCTGCTTTCTCCTGTGTTATGTCATGGGAGAAGATCCAGGCAGGATCTCAAGCCTAGGCCTGCATGGAATCATCTGGACAACTTGTTAGGAATGACAAACGCTTCTCTTCTGTCTCCCTTTGTGGTTATGATATAGTATTTCTAGGGAGTGGTCAAGGTGTCTTTTGAAAACCATTAAGAAAAGAAAACCCCAAACCCAAACCAAAAACCAAGTCTGAGCTGGCACAGTACCTCATGCCCATAATCTTAGCTACTCAGGAGATTGAGACATTGAGGATCGTGGTTCCAAACCACCCCGGGCAGGAACGTCTGTGAGACTCTTATCTCCAATGAACCACTAGAAAACCGGAAGTGGTACTGTGGCTCAAAGTGGTAGAGCAATAGCCTTGAGCAAATGAGCTCAGGGACAGTGCGTAGGCCCTGAGTTCAAAGCCACACGACTGACCAAAAAAAATAACATAAAATCTTTAGATGGCATAGAATAGGCCAAGGAGCACTGTGGTTTATCTTCATTTTTTTTATACTCTTCTTTGATTGCTGTTGACTCTTACAGACACATGTATAGATGAACCAGATAAAATCATATCTAATTTTTTTGTTTGTTGTGTGTTTTTGAGTATGTTTTTGCACCAATACTGGGGCTTGAACTCGGGGCTTGGGGTTACTCTGACCCTTAGCTTTTCCTTTTTTTTTTCCTCAAGGCTGGTGCTCTACCACCGGAGCCACATCTCTACTTCTGGCATTTTGCTGGTTCATTGGAGATAAGAGTTCCATAGACTTTCCTGCCCAGGCTGGCTTTGAACCACGATCTTCAGATCTCAGCCTCCTGAGTAGGTAGGATTACAGGCGTGAGCCACGAACACCCAGCTCTAGATCTGATTGGGGTTTTATTTTTGGAAACTTTTCTTGCACACAGTTCTATCTCTACCCAGCTCAGCTTTGGATAATTCCCTTAATTCCCAAACAGATACTGGTACTGATGTCCAAAAGAGGTTAGGTTGTCATCTTTTTCTTTCAACCCCGACAGTCACCAAGTCAAGAGCAAAGACAAGGTGTGAGGGAAATGTCTACTGTGGCCATAGAGCCATTTTCTTATTTTTCCCTTTCCATTTACTCTGTTTTCAAGTCCCAGAGGTGTGTTGGTCTTACTAACTCGGAAACAGAAGGTTTTAGTGGCTGCAGCATTCTACAGGCTGCGAAGCAGAAAGCTATGTGCCCGCATCCTCTTTCTTCAGGGTCCTACCACTTGTACCCTCTTTCTCCTATTACCTTTAGGATGCCAAGGCCTTCCTGTGGCCTCCCCAGTGCCTTTCTGAATCATCATTTTTTCTCTAGGTCACCTGGCCCTATAATGGCCTGGCTGAAGCTGGCGAATGGCCTCGGTGCTGAACACGATCGTTCCAGTAAAACGTGGCTGATTAGCATAGGAATCACCATAAACCTTTCTATTCTAAGTGTGTTGTTAGAATTCTGGTCCCTGGAGAGGTCATGCTAACCTAGTTAAGGCTCCTGGAGAAAAATAATGCTGTTCCAGCCCATTGCATTTGCATTAAAATATTGTTCTACACTGTCCTTCTGTTGACGTGCTAACCAAGTGGCCTCGGTTCCCTGCAACCTTGAGCAGAATCTGAAATCCGAACGTCCTCCATGATTTCAGCCAGAGTCCTGGCAGCTCAGTGACAATGGTAGCAGGTGCTGAGATATAAAGATGCTCCAGGTTCTGGCTGTGGGCACTTCACTCTGGAAATGATTTGCTGAGGACCAGGTTATGATGGGGTGAAGGATGCTCATGATTGGGCTCTTAGTTGCTGCCTGTGGAGACAACCTGGTGCTGGAGGCGTGTGTCCCGGGCTCAGACGGCCTTGTTGATGTGCAAGGGTCCCCCACATACAAGGTGTAGGGATTGGGCAAGTTACAGCATGGACTCTATCAGAACAGAGTCAGGGAGAGCAATGGAAGGGGCGGTGCCCTGTGCACACCACTGACATGTGGACTTGAAGCCCTTGTGTACAGCCACTAAAGGGTCATTTTGTAAAAATTTAAAAATGGAGTGGGAATTAAACGGTGCCTATCTCCTTGGGTCTCCATGAAACTTTTCTTTTGAGACCAGGACTTGGACTTGGTCCCTGATGCTTTGGCTCATTGGCTACAGCTCTACCAACTGAGCCAGACCTCCAATCCCTGTCATGAAACTTACGTGAAGCATTCTGGACAATGGGAGTTACTTGTGTCCAATTGGCACTATTAATATACAATGAGTAATATATATAATGTATACTATAATTACATAATTATATATAACATGTAATTTATATAATGTAGCCTATATATTAGTGTATTCATAGTATACAGTATAGTATGTAGTGTATAGATAATACACACTTAATATCTAATATGTATTTATAAGTATATACTTATAAGTGTATACCTAAGATAAAGACTATATATGATATATACAATATATATCATATGTAAGATATACTATATGTGATACACATAATATATATAATATACCATATAGTATTTATGCAAAATACTAGTACATCTTGTATGTACTATAGTATATAGTATATATACAGTATATAGATATATTGTATATAGATGCTATTAGCTTAATATTACATATAGTATACTAACATATAATATATAGTATGTATAATATATAGTATATATGGTGCATGGAGTATTACATATAGTATAATATGCTATTATACTATATTACATATGGTATAGTATGTATAATATGTACAGTATATTATACTATCTATTATTATTTATATAATACATTACATAGTATAATGGTATATATTAATATACTATATAGTCTATGTACAACATATACACTATATATAGTATATGTATACTATGTATATATGCTATAAGCAGAATACTATATGTATACTGTATATAGAGTATATACAGTAATATATAATCAATTAATAATATATAAT